GACATCTGTAAAAGGTGTAAATAAGCCAGACACAGAGACAGGCTGTATAAGTCCTTATTCCAGAGCTTGCAGAAATAATTTTCATGACTAGTTCTGGGCTTGATGTTGCACATGAATTTGTGCCAGTTGTGCTGATCAGCATAAATTTGGTCCAAACAACTTTATTTTTCCAGATGGTCAGAATTTTAAGTAGTAGATAAGATTGGTCTTGCATTGTTAATTTCTTGTGTATATAAATGTACACATTTTCTTTCATATTGGTGTTTTTTGTTTTAAGCATTTTGCCACTTAATCGTTCATGTGCTTAGGCAGTCATCAAATGAAGAAGATTTAATATTGTGAGGAACAACAATTTTTATACACCATCTAGGGGGGCCCTGTACCTGGAACAAAAGAGTTGGACAGTCCTGGGTTCTAGCTTTTTTTCCCACTTGGTCAACAGTGAGCTTGGGAAATTTTTTAACCTCCAAGGTGTCTGAGTAGCACCCACGTTAAACTGTTGTATGAGGATTAAACAAAGTAGTACACGTGAAGAGCTTAGTGTGCTACTGGGCCTGACACGTAATAAATGCTCTGTAAATAGTAGTTACTAAAAACTTTTGGAAAAAAACTTCCATTAAATTTGGGAAGTATATTCAGGTTCTGTGAGTGAAAGATTTTTTTTTGAAGTAGGTTGTGCATGTGCTGTGCCTTGGCAGTCTTTGAAGCCCTGCTTTCTGGTCCATTATTATAAACTCGCCAGAAGTAAAATTCAAGAAGTGGCATTCCAGGGGGCGGGTGTGCTTCCACCTGGAGGTAGCAGGTGGAGGTGTAAAGCTGTCTTGGGCACAAAATTGACCATGTGCTTTTGTCCTGTGGCTTGTTGGCCTGAACTTCAAACCCTGGTTACTGTTCACTGACCTTGAAGAAAGGAAGGCTGTTCAAATAGGCTGTAAAACTAAGGGGAGAAAGTGAAGGAGGATGGTTCTGAAGAAGATGCCCTGACTGGGGTGGTGATTTGGACTCTGCTGCTCGCCCAAGCTACTGATTAGGGAAAATGAGGAAAAGGTGGAAGTGATTTACAAAATGGAGTAAATCGCAGCCGCTCTTAACATTTTGTTACACAAGTAATTATATGATCACTTTGAAAGTAAGAATTAGAGAAAATTAATTCAATCAGCTGAAATCTTCTACCCATAGATTACCATTGATAATGTTTTCAAGTTTTGCCGTGTGGATTTTTTCATATGCATCTATATATATAGGATTATTTTATACTGTGGCTCTGTAACCTACTCCTTACTCTTATTGTTTATGTCCTTCCGTGTCAGTAAGTAAAAATCTATGTTATTAGTAAATGGCCGTAGATCGTGTTGTTGTATGTCTTTGCCTTAGATACAATTAGTGCTATACCCTTGAACTTCTAAATTATTTCCACTGTTCAGTATTATAAAGCAAACTCTCCAGTTCTTTTCTTAAACACATTGTCTGAAGCTCTGTGGGTCTCTCCACCAGTTAATAAGGTACTTGTAGGCAAGGTCTATGCGTTGACTTCGTTTATATGGGTGCCCCCAAAGCACCTAGCAGTCTCCTAATAGGCTAACCCTTGTTGGCTGCTGAATTTGACCTTGAAGANGAAGATGAGAGTGTGGGTCACAGCTATGATTTCTTTATTTATCTTCCAACCTAAGGCCATCACCTATCAGCTTTTAAAACACATATATGAGAAACTTCAAAAATTCATGGAAAGATTCATATTACCTTTCAGTTCTATTTTTCCATGAACTTTTTGAAGTGCCCTTGTATAAGTGATTTCAAGAATACATCAGATTTTCTATGGCCTGTGATGATTATAGTAATACTGGCATAACCCTTAGGTTTTCAGAGTACTTTTCACATTGTTATACATGTTGCTTTGTGTTGCTTCACCCCCCACGGATTTGTCACCCCACTTCCCCTGGGTGACAGAGATGCAAAGGATTACTCAAAGCCCATCTCTCTTCTGAGCAATGAGAAGCCCCGAAGTGGTTAACTTCCCTGGAAACGCTCCAGCAAGAGGCAACCCTTCCTCGGGAAATTAACTCCAAATTGGGGTTCTCTTCCTGCATTTATTTTTCAGACCAGGACGTTACAGGAAGAGAACATAGGTGGGGTTATAGTTTAACAATATAGGCTGGTTACTTTCAGTGAAACAAGTCAGATGACATTCCTTTAGACAATTAAGTGATCTTACAGCAATTTCTCAGTATCTTTACATAACAATCAGTAACTAGTCTGTCCTTGAGCCAGCAACCTTGCTGTGCCACAAATCTTTATATTACACCAGAGACTTTATGGCCTGAGGAAAATTTCCAGTCCTCTGCGAGGCCAATATTTGAAACTGCAAGACTTTGGAATCCCAGGCCCTGTGAAGTACATATGCTTTATAGTATATTCCACATACATAGATCCTGGCACAGCTGTTATTATTACTCTCATTTTGCAATGGAGTCAACTGAAGTTAAGAGAGTTTAACTCTATGCTATACCATGCTGCATCTTTGTTTAATTTACTTGGATGACTTAAAATGTATGTGTGTGTGTGTGTGTGTGTGTGTGTGTGTGTGTTAACTTGGGCCATTAATATCTATGATGCTACTCTTATGTACCAGTCACATTGAAAATGGAGTAAACAAATTTTTGGTGGAGAAATAGGTAGCTATTTTGCAAAACAAACTTAACATATATTTTTTTCTAGAGAGATTTATGGTAATGCTTATCTAACTGGATTTTCTAGCAGTATTTAAGGTAATCTAAAAATTCCAACCCTACAAGTACCCCAGTGAAGACATTTCCTGTATCAGTGACTCCTTGCAGGCTTTTTGCTTTGCT